GTGTGACCAATAATATGTTGCAGTCGTTTTTTTCATTGGTTAAATTACTTTTGACACGAGTAGTTTATTAATATCCGTACTTTTAACCAAAATAATTTATATTTTGAAACGGAGGAAGTATCATATAATAAAACTATAAATTATCAAAATATTAATGCTTAGTTAATTAATATCTTTAGTGTAACTATAAATAAACAAGTCTCTATATAATGATGTTGAGTCGTGTAGTTTAATATTTCGGACCGCGCGTTGTGTGATCCGACGTTCGAGTATATTATTTGTGTTCTTATCTATTTTTTTCTCCATGTTTTTTATTGTATCATAATTCAGAAGTTTGATATTAAGTTACATATTATGGAAACGATATTATATACAGTATATGTGTAGTTAGATATTTTAGAATATTGGATATTGATTAAAGTGTAATGATATATATATGAATTTGAATTCATATTATGGATCGGTCAGATTTTGGATGAAATGTGAATGAACTACTTGTGCGAATATTTGTTAAGAGTACCCGTTCTTTTAGGTCAATTGTGGATATCAATTTTTTTCATACAGAAAAAGGTTTTGAAAATTTGAGTTGCGAATTTAAGTTGTTGCATATTTTGTAATATGTATGATGTATCATCTATGTGTATTTGTGTTCGAAAAAGCTAAAAACATTTCGTATCAAACACGAATCTTCATTAGTCATCATCCGTTTAGTGGGGATTATTTGATTTGATTACAATTAGAATGCTTGCTTTGGCGACGCGAATTAGAGCACAAAAGCCACAAACGCATGAACCATAAAAATACATGCAACACATTATATTTCGGTTTGCACGAGAAGCGTGTAGATAGTAACTTTATAAGAAATTAATCATATAGTTGTTTTTTTACGGTACTTCTGAGCTCTTAATGATAACGCAAATAATGAATTTTCTTTTTGTGATTCATAATTACGATTTTAATTATAACTAGTCGCCAATGAGAGGTAATGATTTAAACAAGTAAAAGATACGATTTTGGCTTTCATGACATGGTAAAAAAAATTAGAATTCTTGTAAGCTTTTACCGCGTGATCAGAAAGATGTACTGTATAAAGTAAATAACCTACTTTTCAAATACAACGGCTAGCTAAATCATCTCTATATATACTTATAGTAAGTATTTTTTTTTTTTTTTTGAAAAAGAACTGATTACTGTGGTTTTTGCATGCGACTTCATTTTTTAGTATATGGAAGAAGAAGAAAAAATGTCCTTCTTCCAAGCCATCTATCGGGACGTTAAGAATTCGATCGCGGCACGAAAGAAACACAGTGACTTTAACAACATTATGTTGCTTTGGCTAAGATGAGTTTTGTGTTCATGACATAATTTTATACTACCTTGCTTTTTTATTTTATTTTTAGCAAGGTATTGTAAGATTTAGATGTAACTTTTGTAACTTCTAACATTTCATTGTCTAAATGATATTTACCTTTTATC